CCCAGGAAGCCCTGGTGCAGTATAATTAGCTCACTAATAACAGTTGTATTTGCAGTCATTTCACTATCGTGCTTTAGGTGAGTACCAGTTTAGCAGATCTTCAGACGTTTATCTTTGTTATGTTTTGTCTACTGCGAGTTTAAATGATAAAAAAGGGTTTCCGACTATCTTCCATGCACATTGCATTGTAATTAAAATTTTTGGTGTTGGTATTGACATAAAAACGCACCAGGGGTGCCTGCATCCGCATTTTGGCACATGGCATTGTTGCCGAGTTGCCGACGGATGAGGCTGAGAAAGTCCCTTTGAACCTGAACAGGATAATTCCTGCGTAGGGAGCGTGCTTTATTGTTGCTTGCTTGAACAGGAATGGAGCTCCCATGGCCTGATGGTTTGAGCTTGGCTGATACTCGAGGGCAGATACGGCTCTATGCCCCAACTTTTCACTCCGGAATTTGCCTTATTGGGTAAAACTAAATTGGCAAATTTGCTAAACTTAAAATATGGGGTCTAAATATAATTTTAATCCATCTACCATAATTTGATAAAATTTTGGCTTATCTTTTTATACTGTTATTCTGTAGGTCCAAATTGATTATCCCTTACTTGTTAAAGTGATGGTATGGATTTTATTTACTGTCATTTAATCACACAATTAAGGTTATGGGAAAATCCAATCAATTTATATAAATCAGATCTTTCTAAAAACTTCGTCTTTAACTAAAACAAATAATATTGTATTTTATATTGATTTATTATCAACACTAAACGGTAAAAAACTAAAATAAATATCAAATTTTAAGATCATATATTCGAGTAGTAGAATTTTCTTTAAAGTTTGTTATGATACTCTCGTTTGGTCCACATCGGTAATCAAATGCCATCCTCAAATTCCCTATCCTAAATCTTAACGTTGTAAAATTTATTATACAAACAATTATAAATCAAAGTAAAATTTGATAGATTAAACCATATCTAATAAACAAATAAAATGTATCTTATCAGAAAATTATATTGCATGCTTATTATGTTTAACATTATAATATTATTATAAGAATCGTTTTAAATTAATTATATGTAAAATCAAATCTATGAAACAATCCACGTGTATTTTATCAGGAAATTTGGTTGCATGCTTACGTGCTTATTAAGGTCACTTGTTTATAATTTTGTATTATTTAATGAGGGATTATTTCACTCTTGTAATTAGTATTAAATATTTTAATCTCCAAACAACTCTTATTTTTGTTTATTTAGGAATACAAACATCTTTCCGTTTAAAAGTTCAAAAGAAATCACGTTATTATTGAAAGTTTTGGGGTTTGAGCATTTGCATGATGTATATATGTTATCAAATGGTTAAGAAAATTCTAAATATATATTATCACTCTAGACTATTAAAAAAGTTTAAGTATTACAAATGTATAAATATTAGGGTAAATTATATAATATATCATTGAATTTTAAAAGGTGTATTGTTTATACCACTGAACTTCTAATTTTTTTCAATTATAATATTAAACTTTGGTTTTGACTTCAATTATATCATCAGACCATCAAAATCCGAACGATGTAATGATATGGAGAAAACGACATCATTTTGGTGCGATTATTGATGCTTAAAATAATTTTGTTTTAGGTATTGAACTTTAAGGTGTATCGATTTTGTCAATAAATTTTAGACGGTTTACTTTTTTTACTGTCATCGACAATCAATTATCATCCGTCATCGATCGTCTTTCGCAATAAGATCAATATCAAAATATCCGTATTTCAATTTCTTTCTTTTCCAATAAAAAATATCTCAAGTAAAACCATAATCCTAACTTTATAAAGATTAATACATAAAACTCGAGAAAACAAGAGTTGCTATCAAATTAAGAGACTTATTTGAAAGTATTGAAAGATTAACCATATTTATATAAAACGTTTATTTTTTTATATTTTTTTAACAAAACAAATATATATTGTATAAAATAATTTATGCAAAGTATTTTTGGAGTCAACTGACTTCAAAATTTATAAAATGACTGTCATGAACAAAATATGAGAATAATTTTGATAATTATTCTAATCTTTTACATGAGTTGGTGAGATGAATATTTTTCACACCACCGACATAAAATAATGCCAAGTCTCAGCATGGACGAACACATATAAATTAAGATTTTTTTTCTGTTAGTAACAATATATAGACCATTGGATTTTCATATTGCACTAGATAAATAAAAATAAGTATTCATATAAAATCTATATACACTTGAAATTGACCTAACTCTCTTTTTCACCAAAATCATTCATGGACGAAACTGGTAATTTCATCACTTTCTGTATTAGCTGAAACCTTTTGTTCTTCTCACATATAGCTAGCTTTGCTTTTAGGCCGTCATCTGTTCATGTTCAATATAATATTGCTCCACTCAGGCTGGAATCACTGCCAAACCATCGGCGTTGGGATGAGATATTTGTTGCTCGTCCTCGAAACAGAACTGCTCGGAAGAGGTGTCCGTCACCAAAGACTGGACCCAAGACACATCTGGCTCGTCTGAAGTTGAGGACATTGATTGTGATGGATCTCCCAAATTGATTCTACTGCCATGGAACGCAAAACACGAAGCTTGTGTTAGTTTATTTTGCTCTTCTCCCTGTATACCCCAGTCTAGTTTTCCATCAGGCGAACCCCAATCCGACAAGTTGGAAAGCACTCGACTTGGTGGAGAAAACTCCGAATGGTGATTTACCGAAGTAAGTTCCATAAAGCTTGGCCTTCGGTTTGCAAAGGCAGCTGGATTTGGACTTAAAAATGTATCTGCAATCGGCCTAGATGGGTCGACTCCAAAAGCTTACTCCAGTGGGAGACTGTAGCCGATGAGTTGAAGTATCGAGTGAGATTCCTTCGTGTTGACTAAGCACCGAAAAAAAAAAGTTGTTTTGTTGATTTTTTGGATAATGGTTAAATCAAAATTTAGTCATTAAATTTTAGGGTATTTATAAATTAGTCATTAGTTTTTAACTATAAATACTCTAGTTCATTTAGCTTCAAAATCATCCCAAAGCATTCTAGCTTTCTTCCAATACTAGAGAGATTTTAGATAGTTTCTTGAGAGTTGTTTTCTCCTTTTTATCTAGAGAGAATTATCATTGTTTTCTCCTTGGTAGATCGAGAGAGGTTGTAATTCGTATTTTCTCATAGTGAAATTCTTCTACCGTTGCCCGTGGTTTTTACCCTAAATATTTTAAGGGTTTCCACGTAAATTTTGTGCCTCTTTTATCTTCAATTTTATTTTCTCAAATTATCAATTACGATTTTGCTCTATCCGATAGCTGTCTTCCGCAACACTTTGAACCAATTTTATTCACCAGTTCCGTCTGCAGATGTAGAAAAGGTTGAACTAGTGGACAAGGGATTGTTCCAGTTGGTGGTGGAGGGAAGACTGCGTATCCCATCAATTAGCTGCTGAGTTTGGCGGGGACGACAACTTTCCAGTCCTAGTTGTTCCAACTTCAAGTCCATATTTCGAACACGTCCAGCAGTTTTCAGCCTAATACCATACATGAAGCTGCAATGACAGTACGATTTTAGACTGGTTCGGCCACATCACTCCAACCATAGGTGAAGATGTACTACCAGTACCAGTAGGAGTCAAGGTCAGTGTTGATGTTGAAGATAACAAAACAGATGGGGAGCCAAGACCATGTGAGCTTATTGAACCCATTTCTAAAGAGGAACCCATAGCTGAATAAGATCTTGGGGAAGGCAGTGCTGAACCTGTTGAAGCATACACGGGGAAAAGCTCTTCAAGCTTGTGAGCAAAGAAACGAACCTTCCTGTCTCGTCCTTGCATAAACGAGTTCGATACTGGGCAGGATGAAGCAACACTCGAAGATACCATGTGCGTACTCGCAATTATCGCCCTGCTTGCAGGAACCCTTACGAAATTCAGGGCAAGGAACACAACTATATAGGTATTTTCTAGGATCGCGTCTCCTCGCATTTTCCCCAAGATGAACAAAAAGAACTCGGTCCAGTCATGAGAGTAAGCCCTTGAGCAAGGCGAGACCTTAAAATTATACATCCTAAACTCATTTGTGCGTAATCAATCTGACGGATAAAACATAACAAATAGATATGTAACCTTTAATTAGTGTAAATACAATCAAAACTTATTATTAATTTCTTTTAGTTTATTGTTTTTTTACTTTCATCTTCTTTTCTATTATTTTTTCAATTTTATTTCTTTTGATTAATGTTGTTTTTTGTTCTACCCACTTAAATTTTTGATTAATGTTTTTATCTAACCAATGAATATTTTACTTCAAAATAAAACATAAAGACCAAAATGTTTAAAAATAAGAAGATAAATTACATATTTTGTCATTAAACTATTCTCAATGTTCCATCTTGGTCACCAAACTATTTTTAAAATCATACCTAAAGTTGTATTTTTATTCTATTTTGGACACCCACTATTAAAAAATAGAACTATCGATATGATATTTTTTAATTTTTCAATGATGAAACGACATTATCTTATAGTGACATGTCATATCACTATTAATTTTCTAAAGGAGGATGACCAAAACGTAACTTTAAGTATGATTTTGAAAAAAATAGTTGGGTGACCAAAATAAAATCACAAGAATAGTTAGTCTACTAAATACATAGTTTACCCTGAAAAGATAGAGAAAAAAATAATTATTTTATAAAACGTTAGAGTTGAAATTTTACCCGCATTTTTTTTAGTTTTTTTTAATTATGAAATTAATTTACATATTAGAGTGTTTGGTTGGAGTAATTGTCCATATTAATCTTTGAATAAACGAAGGCCCATTGAATTTATTGGCTAAAGCCCAGTTTATGAAATTGTGATTAAACCAATAAAAGGCGGGAGACCAAAACGTTACGTTAAGTTTCCCGCGAGAAGAAACATTTACCCGCTCCTCATTTTCATCTTCCCCCTCCCCCCAAATTAATAATGTTCTTATTTTATATATACGGCCAATATTGTCCCAATCGCCAATCCAATCCAACCCCATTTTTTTTGTTCCAGTTTGTCTAAATCCGTGAAAAAAGTTTAACAATGCCTGCAATTGCAGATCGCAACTCGTCTCCCTTCAAGGGGATGTCGGTCGGATCCAACGGCTGTTGTACTCCTCAGAAACGAAGGTTAAGGTCCGACACGACGGCGGACAAACAGAGTCTGGTTTCAACGCCGATGAAACTCAAATCGCCTCGCCGTCGCCTAATTTCAAGTCCAAGCAGCCCTGAAAATGTAAGCTTTTACTTTTAATGTTTACTTCATTTTTGAAAGTTTATGGTTGTTTTTGTATGAATTGGTTTTATAACCTCTTGTTATGGTCGGGGAAAACAAAATGAAACTAATACGATGCTTATTTGAATTTTTGACAAATTAAAAGAAAAGAAAAAACTACTAGTTTTTTATGGTTTCGTTCCTTTTCAGTGTGTGATTAAATTCATGTTTTGCAAAAACATTGGACGGGGTTTAAAAGATTTCTATTGTTGCTTAATTTTATATATTTACAGCAAATGAAGGAAGATCTGAGCGGTAGACCAGTGAAGAGATGCTGGGATCCGAGAGGTAGTTTTGTAGCAAGCCCCCCAACCCCAAAAAAACTGGCCTTTTAATTTTGAGCAATCAATGATAATATTGAATTGGTTTTTGTTTATTTTGTTTAAAGATGTTGAACAAATGGGGGCTGTGAAGGAGTCTCTACATGTTTCAACAGCCCCATCAACTGTTGTGTGCCGAGAAGATGAGCAAAAAAGGGTTTTGGATTTTTGTAAGACGTGTGTTGAACAAGAGAAAGCTGGGAGCTTGTATGCTTGTGGATGCCCTGGGACCGGGAAATCGTTATCTATGGAGAAAGTAAAACAACAAGTTATTGATTGGGCAGCAGTGGTATGTTCATTGTTTTATAATCCCTTTTGCCTTTGAAATCTTACTGAACCAAGTTATCAATTTCAATTATTCCCTCTTTTGTAACAGGAAGGTTTGCAGCCACCTGCCATATTAGCAATGAATTGCACTTCTTTAGCAAATACATCTCTGATTTTTAGTAAGGTATTGATATTGAAACCTTAACAACATTTAAAACATTCATTTTGTAAGGTTTTGCCTTATGATTATCTTGGCAGATTCTTGACATGCACCAATTGAAGAAGAAAACTACAGGATCAATGTCACCTTTACAGCATTTACAGAAACTATATTCTAACAAGCAGGCGTCATCAGGCTCAAAGATGATGTGAGAAATTTGCCCTCAACTTCCTAGAAGCATCTTTATTCTCATCTCCCCAGGCCTTAACAAAACCATGATTTTTTGCAGGTTAATAATAATTGCTGATGAGTTGGATTATTTAATTACAAGAGATAGAGCAGTACTTCATGATCTTTTCCTGCTTACAACCTTTCCGTTTTCAAGATGTATATTGATAGGTATCATCCATTCCGACTATGTATTATTCATATGCTTATTTCTATGTTGCTTCTTCTGATTCATGTTGACATTCACTAATGAATGTTATCCTTTTTTTTTTTTCAGGAATATCAAATTCCATTGATCTAGCTGATAGGTTTCTTCCAAGACTTCAGTCATTGAACTGTGAGCTCCTTTTTGGTTGACATTCATATTAGGATTGATCATTTTGTGATATTTGTTAATTTCCCGTTTTCTTGAAGCCGTCCCTGTTTCTGAAATAGTCATAATCATTGTCCTGTTTATTTTCAACTATAAATAGTGAATTGTCACCTGCATCTTCCTAGTTTCCCCAACTAAGAACAAGGGATAAGAATGAAAGCATGTTTAATGTCGTTTTATATTTTCTAGGCTCTTTACTTGCTAGTGTTGAATATTTCCTTGTTATTTTATTTCTCTGCTGATATTAACTTCAATGCATGCTTTTTAGTGCTTGCAACAATGCAATATGGATTGTTTTTATTAAATTACCACTTCTACATGTTAGGCAAACCGATGGTTGTAAACTTCCGTGCTTACTCGAAAGATCAAATCCTTTCAATACTTCAGGAGAGGCTCTTGGTACATACCATACTCATTAATGATTCCGAATTACTTTGAATTTGATTTGTGAGGCAAATTCAATGTTTTTAGAGTTTTCTCGGCTTTACCTACAGGTACTTCCATATATTGTCTTCCACCAGAAGGCATTAGAACTTTGTGCCAGAGTAAGTTATAGGGATTCTTTTGTAAACCTCTTCCTGCCTTCAATTATTCTACTTTCAATAGATACTAATTACTTGAAATTAGCAGAAAGTTGCAGCTGCATCTGGGGATATGCGGAAAGCTCTTTCTGTTTGTAGGTTAGTGTTTCATTGCAACTTAATATTACGTCAAACAAGACTTTTCATTATAATTAATATTCCTAAACATTGTAACTAACATTTTTTTGGCTGTTCCAGGAGTGCGGTGGAAATTCTTGAGGCAGAATTAAGGGAAACTGCAAGCGGGGTCAGTTTGACATCAGTAGAGGGGGGGTTCATCAGTCCACAGACGCCTCCTGCTCATGAAGTCTTACCATCACAAGAAAATAATACAGTAAGCTTTCTCCAATAATTACTGTTATGAAGCTTGAGCTCGTTACATTGGTCTTAGTGCTTAACCAGTCACCTCTACAGTTACTTACACTTAATGATACATTTCAGGTGAGGATTGATCATATGGCTCTTGCATTGTCAAAGACATTCAGATCACCTATAGTTGACACTGTACAGTGTCTTCCTCAACATCAGCAAGTAAGCTTGAAAATGAATACAGCAGACAATAGTTAATATAATCGTCCATGTCTCTGCTGCTTCATCTTCTCTAATGCTGTTAAGTTTGACTGCAGATTATGCTTTGCTCTGCGGTGAAGTATTTCCGTGGTGGAAAGAAGGATACAACTGTTGGGGAGGTGTGCTTTCCCTTAAGTTTGATAATAGTGAGCTGAATCTTTTCATAGTTTCAGAAATTGACATATAATGGTTGTGTTCTGCTGCAGCTAAATAAATCTTACATTGACACTTGTAAATCAGCATTGATCCCACCAGTTGGAATTTCAGAATTTTCAAGTCTGTGCAGAGTGCTAAATGACCAGGTAACTAAAGTACGCCTATTCTTCAATTTGAGCTCAGCTCATAAGGGCTATAGATGACAGCTCATAAAGGAGGTTGACATGATTCAATATATAGGGGATTTTTAAACTGGGTCAGTCTCGTGATGATAAGTTCAAAAGGGTAACGCTAAAAGTTGATGAAGCCGACATCTCCTTTGCTTTGCAGGTATAGTAGATTCATCACTTCAGCACAGACTTGAGTATTAATTTGTTTCTTACCATTAATCAATTATGTTGAACAGGGTGTTCGTTTATTTCGGAATTGTCTGCAGTAATTTTTGCACAATCGCTTGATGAATTGTGATAGCTTGATAGGGTGGCTGTCTCTGCCTGCTCGATTCATTAACATAGCAGGCATTGCAATCCTGGCGGTCAAGTTTAGTCTGCTTCACAGCTTCAGTATCAACCAAAGTCAATGCCAATCCGTAAAGGGGATGACTATTGGCTATTCGTCCACTGTTTCTTCAAGCGGAACTTGCACAATTTGATACAAATTGTAATTTTTTCTTTTTTTCTTTTTACATGATGGGTGTAACATTGGTTCTTTTATTTGTTTATTTTGTAACAAAAAGCATAAATTGATTATGCAATGAATGCCTCCTGTTCTTTCAACTGCATGCATGTGAGCATTGAATGCAAAACCACATCATCTACAACTACTACTATCTCTCAAATTCCAAACTCAGCCACCATTACTCAGTCAAAAAGACATTCAACAAGGTCCTCATCAGAGTCGTGGCTCTTCAACCTTCTCTTCCTTGGCAGCTGCACCCCCACCAATTGCCACCAAAGAATCATAAAAAATCCTCAGCATTGTCAAGCCATCACAAGACAAACAAAAACGAATTAAATGAAATGCATTTTTGAGAGGGAAGGTATACTCTGTAGCCACAGCAAGATCAAGAAGCAATATTGGAGAGCCAGTTCACAAACTTCTCCATAAGATCATCTTCAGTTATTAATGAATTGTTTTGTCTATTCGTAGATGGTGACCCACTTGCCATAAAGGATGAAAGAGACTAGTCATGGGTGAAGAAATAAAATCCGTTCAGAAAAATGATAGTTGGAAGTTGTACTTCTAAAGGTATAAAGTTATTTGAGTCGAGTGAAATTTCAAGAAAAAAAAATGCAATCGACTATGTGCTTAAGATACAAAGAAAGGTTAGTTGTTAAAGTGTACAAGCAAAAGCAGAAGAAACAACTGTAGAGATAATTTTATACATTCAGGTTCAAATGATGCAACTGTAAAAGGATAAAAGGGTAAGTGTGTTCTTTCACATATCCTTCAAATTTCTTTAGGTTAATTATTTATTTTACTGATAGTGTCCGCCTTAAAATTTTATTTATGTTATTAATGTTGAAAATTGGTTTTTCGGTGCAAGTTGTTGCACCGAAAGTTGCAAGCACCGAAAATATTGAATTTTGGCATGGTAAAATCACCAATTTAGTCCCTGTATTTTAGAGTATTTATAAAATTAATCCTTAAGCTTCAACTATAAATACCCTAACCCATTTAGCTTCAAAATCATCCCAAATCATTCTAGTTTTCTCTCAATACTAGAGAGTTTTCTTGAGAATTATTTTCTCCTTTTTATAAAGAGAGAATTATTATTGTTTTCTCCTTGTTAGATTGAGACAAGTTGTAATTCCTATTTTCTCATAGTGAAATTCTTCTACCGTTGCCCGTGGTTTTTACACTATATTATTTAGGGGTTTTCCACGTAAAATTTGTGTCTTCTTTATCTTCATTTTTATTTTCTCAAATTATCAGTTGAGATTTTGCTCTATCCGATAGTCTTATTCCGCAACAATTGGTATCAAAAGCCAGATTTGAGTGTGTAATATCTACTTATTGTCTTTGTGGTTGCCACCAAAAGATGAATACTCCAACATAAGAAAGTAAGAAGGTATTACCCATTATTTGAAGGTTCTAGAGAACTATTCACTATAGTGAAATAGTAGGAGCTATCCGTAATAGAAGCTATGGCAACGAAATTTGATATTGAAAAATTCAATGGAAGAAATTTCTCATTGTGGAAATTGAAGATGAATGTCATCCTAAGGAAAAAAGGTTGTCTAGAAGCTATCAGTGAAAGGCCAGTAGATTTCACACATGACAACAAATAGATCGAAATGGACGAGAATGCTATGGTAAACTTTCATCTAGCATTAGCAGATGAAGTATTGTCAAGCATCGAGGAGAAGAAGACAACTAAAGAGATATGAGATCATCTTACCAAACTGTAAGAGGCCACATCGTTGCACAATAAGATTTTCCTTAAGAAAAAATTGTACATTCTTCGGATGCCAAAATCTACTTCAGTGACAGAGCACTTAAACACGCTGAACACTTTATTTTCTCATCTTACATCCTTAAGATGTGCAATAGGAGAACAAGAACGTGATGAACTTCTACTTCAAAGTCTACCTGATTTGTATATCAGCTCATCATCAACTTGACAAACAATAATGTCATCAGTCTAGTCTTCGATGACGTTGTAGCTGCTGTTCTACAAGAAGAAAATCAGCGCAAGAACAAGGAAGAAAGACAAGTAAATCTGCAACAAGCAAAAGCATTAAAAACGATGAGAGAGAGATCAACAAAATGTGGCCAAAGCAGCAGTCACAAACATGGTAGATCAAAGTCGAGAAGCAAAAAGAATTTAAAGTGCTACAACTATGGAAAGAAGGGTCACTTGAAGAAGGATTGTTGGAGTCTAGGTAAAAACTCCAATCCACAAGGCAATACCGCAAACACTTCAGATGATGAAGATGCTCTATGTTGTGAAGCGTCAACCATCGTGGAAAGTAGAAAGAGATTTACATATATATGGCTCATTGATTCGGGAGTAACATATCACATGACCTCAAGAAGAGAGCAACATATCACATGACCTCAAGAAGAGAATGATTACATCATTATGAACCTATCTCAGGAGAATCTGTGTATAGTTGCAATGATCATGCCTTAGAGATCGTTGGTGTTGGAACCATCAAATTGAAGATGTATGATGGAACAATTAAAGTTGTTTGAGATGTGCGGCACATGAAAGGCCTGAAGAAAAATTTATTATCCTACGGATTATTGGATAATAATGCAAGCAAGATTGAAACACGGAAAGGAATCATGATGGTGTTCCGTGGAGCGCTTGTGGTGATGAAAGGCGAAAAGATAGCAGCAAATTTGTACATGCTGAAGGGAGAGACTTTGCTAGAAACAGAAGCCTCTGTTGCCTCATGTAGTTCAGATTCTGCAATACTATGGCATCAGAAACTTGGACACATGTCAGAATAAGGAATGAAAGTCCTTGTGGAGCAAAAACTACTTTCAGGCTTAACAAAGGTATCACTTACTTTGTGTGAGCATTGTATAACAAGTAAGCAACACCGGTTGAAATTCAACATGTCAAATTCTAGAGGTAAAAGTGTTCTAGAATTGGTTCATTCTGACGTATGGCAAACACCAGTAACATCCCTAGGTGGAGCAAAATTCTTTGTCTCATTTATTGATGACTACTCCAGGAGATGTTGGGTGTACCCTATTAAGAAGAAATCAGATGTGTTTTCAACTTTAAAAAACTTCAAAGCGTGGGTGGAACTTGATTATGGAAATAAGATCAAGTGTTTCAGAACAGATAATGGAGGAAAATACACAAGTGAAGAATTTGATGACTTTTGCAGGAAAGAAGGCATCAAAAGACAGTTCACAGTGGCAAACACTCCTCAACAAAATGGAGTGGCAGAGAGGATGAACAGAACCTTGTTAGAAAGAACAAGAGTAATGTTGAGGGTTACAGGCCTAGAAAAATCATGTTGGGCAGAAGCAGTCAATACCGCCTGTTACGAGCTCCATCAACTGCAATAGAGCTGCAGACACTAATAGAGATGTGGACTGGTAAACCAACTGATTATTCAAACCTCTATGTATTTGGAAGTATTGCGTACGTGATGTACAACTCCCAAGAAATTTCAAAGTTGGATCCAAAATCCAGGAAATTCAAATTCTTGGGGTATGCTGGTGGTGTAAAGGGGTATCGCTTGTGGGATCCCACTGCTCGCAAAGCGATCATTAGCAGGGATGCTATCTTTGTAGAAGATAAACTACAAAGAAAAGAAGAAGATGGTAGCTCTGAAAAGCAGGGATGTTGAACAAGGAGATTCTTCTGAAGCAGAACCAGCACATGATGAACAAGAACTAGAGAGTTCTGACGCTCCAACAACTCATCAATCAGATCGTGTGAGAAGACGTCCCAATTAGCACTCAGATTATGTTAATTGCATATTGCCTTTTAACAGAGGACGGTGAGCCATCAACATACCAAGAGGTAATAAACAGCTTAGATGTTTCACTGTAGATGATGGCGATGCAAGAAGAAATTGAAGCCCTTCATAAAAATAATACATGAGACCTTGTGCCACTACCACAAGGAAAGAAGCCAATTGGTAACAAATGGGTCTTCAAAATCAAGCGAATTGGTAACGATCAAGTTGAGAGGTATCGTGTAAGACTGATGGTCAAAGGATATGCTCAAAAAGAAGGTTTTGATTTCAATAAAATCTTTTCTCCTATGGTTCGACTAACAACAGTTCGAGTAGTCTTGGCAATGTGTGCTACATTGAACTTACATCTAGAGCAGCTAGATGTTAAAACAACTTTTCTTCATGAAAATCTTGAAGAAGAAATTTACATGCTCCAGCCTGAAGATTTTGAAGAAAAAGAAAGAAAGAACTTGGTTTGCAGGTTGAACAAATCTCTGTACGGTCTAAAACAGACACCGAGGTGTTGGTATAAGAGATTTGATTCCTTCATTATGTGCCTTGGATACAACAGACTTAATGCAGACCCTTGTGCTTATTTCAAGAGGTTTGGTGATAACGATTTTGTTATATTACTGTTGTATGTGGATGATATGTTGATTGCAGGACCCAACAATGATCATATTGAAGAATTGAAGGCAGAACTGGCTAGAGAATTTGAAATGAAGGACTTGAGATCAACAAACAAGATTCTAGGGATGTCAATTCATCGAGACAGAAATAATAGGAAGATTTGGCTTTCACAAAAGAATTACTTGAAGAAGATCTTGTCACGATTCAACATGCAAGATTGTAAGCCAATTTCTACCCTTCTTCATATTAACTTCAAATTATCCTCTAGTATGAGTCCTAGCAGTGAAGAAGAGAGGATGAAGATGTCTCGAGTACCGTATGCATCAGCAGTGGGAAGTTTAATGTTCGCTATGATATGCACAAGACAGACATTGCACAAGCAGTGGGAGTGGTTAGTCAGTACATAACGAATCCAGGCAAAGAGCATTGAAATACAGTAAAGGGGATCCTGAGATA